CTAGCCCCTGGGTGACCTCGTCTGAGCATTCTCTCCTCAAGCCTCGTTTGACCCCCTTATTATGCACTTACTAACTTGATTGTCAGAGTCTCCACCCTTGGGATAACACCAGGGGCCTCTAACGTGCTTCCTCCTTCACATGCTGGACTTACAGTCCCTCAGCTTCATTAGCCCTTGGACATACCATCCCTTAGCTAAGGAAGTGAAAGTGCCTTGTTGCCCTCAGCCCATCCTTGGCTACAACAAGTTATATAAAAAAAAATGTAGTTGGCAAATGTACAGCAATCGGCATCGGCTATACATCCTTTTTCTTTTATATATAGCTTAGTCATCATGGAGATCCATGCCCAAGTTTGATCCAATGCACATAACAATTTAAGTTGTCATGTGACAACTTAGGAGGCATTTTACAAGATGAATGATGAATATTTTTGTTTTCGCTTGTTTTTAGAATTGCCACATTAGCAAAAACTATGTTTTTGTTTTCAAAGGGAAAAACAAGTTGGTTTTGTTTTAAAAAATAATGCATGTTCTTGGTATAAAAATTAAATGACTTATAGAACATGATGTTAAATACTTAGATGATTCAAGAATATGTTTTTGGTTTCAGTTTTGAAAACAAACAAAAAAAAAATACATACATACACAACCAAGAACACGTTTCTTGTGCTTTTATTTAAAAAACAATCTTTTTCAAACAAAATGGTTTTGATTTCTTTTTGGAACCAACAACAAGAAAAACCATTCATGTTGTAGAATGCCCCCTTAAGTTGTCATGTGAGTAGTCTAACCATTTAATGGGATAATTATTTAAGTGGTTCATTAACCTAACTATTACAAGCTTTATTGGCTTAAACAATATATATGATGTGGGACCCACAAAGATCTTATATTAGATAATATGGGTTCAATCCATGCTAGAAAGCACACATGCCAAATTCACTGAGCAAACCTAGTGAACCCTTGAGCCAATCAAATTGGGCTCAGTATGGGCCCAACACGTATGTCTAAGTGATCCTTAGTTTCACGCATCTTATGAACTCCAATGATAATGAATTAACAATAAGATAAAGTGCATTATGTTTTAGCTCTTTGATGGTTTTTTGCTCTTAACCTCTTCCTTGACTGCTAAATGTAATGTCACACCCTCTGCTTAGATGGATCATGACATTAAAATCTTTTGAAAACCTTTTACATAAAATAGCATATTATAAATATAAATACATTTTGCAAAATGATTTTAAAAACAAGTCAAAATCCATTGTTGATAGTTTTAAGTTTTCATAAGAGAGAGTATTAACCTTGATATGCTCTTTGTCTAACAATATGGTTGATCCTATCAATGATCACCCACTTATGTGGTATTTTGAGTTGTTCAAATATACCTAGATAGTTGAACCTAAGAAGATCTCATTAGTTGTCATAACAAAAGTAGCTTAGTCCAAAACCTAGTGTAGTATCACTATCAAGTCTAGTGTTAAGTTTAACTTTCTTGTTTTGCCAATATCTCTCCAAGGTCCAGGGCACAAATGGAAATTGGTCAATGTTCATTATGTTTTACAAACACCCACTGACTATACTTATGGTCTAAATCTGGCAAGTAAGACAAGTTACTCCACCATATCATTAGTACATCAGTGTCAACCTTCTTAAGATAAACTCCCCAAATTTATCCAATGGTTGAAAATATTCTAAAATAACATAAATCTGATAAATGTCAAGTTTATGGGGTAATTCACAAAAACACACCAATCATAAACATGAAACAATAATGATGTGATTTTATTAATTCATAAATCTTAGTACACATCAGTCTATTTGGAGCTAAGGGTATACACTATCTAATAATTTACACTAAATATAATTTCCAATTTTCTGCAAATTGATATACTGTCCTTATGCAAGATAGTATTTATAGAGGATCTTCTTCAACTAGAAACAATTTTGGATATTGACTTTCAAGAATAATACAATGTCATCTACAAAGAACAAATGAGATAGAGTTGGGCCATTTCGCTTTATCTTCATACATGTTAATTGCCTAACTGATTGGGGAGGTGCATTGTTATGATGAAGGGGAAGGGGGATAAGGGGTCTCCTTGTTTAATTCCCCTAATAGGATGAATATTGTCTCGATGGGTGCCATTCACTAACACAAAAAACTATAATAGTGAGATGCATTGGCATATCATCATGATTCAATGGTCAAAATGAAAAATTGCCAATTGAGTCGATCATAGGTTTTCTTGATGTCCAAGTTGATCACCATGAAGAAATCATTTCATCTTATTTGTCTCCAAAAAGTGAAAAGCTTCGTGAGAGACGATCAGATTGTTTAAAATAAAACTTTAGTGAATGAACACACTTTGAACAATATCAATCAGGTTAGGGATGACCAGCTTAAGTTTGTTAATGAAGTATTTAGCAAAGAAATCACAAATGACATTGGAAACACTATTGGCCTATATTGGTTGATCTCTTGGGGGTGGGGGCATTTATTGAGTAGAAGTTTAGAACAATGCGAGTTCTACTAAAATAAGACAGGGGTTGGGATCTACTCCCAACTACACCTGTTCCAACATACACAATCCATGGCTGGACATAGGGGAGCCCTCGAATTGAGTTTTAGTTGAATAATTCAGACTTGAGTTTGATTCTAGTTGAGTAGATAAGTTCGATTAATTATTCGAATTCAAAGTCAATTAATAAAAAGTTTGGCTTGAAAGCTCATGATCCTAACTTGATTAATATTAGGGTGAATTTCTTAAGCTACCCTTATGGTTTAGCTAATTAACTAAATGTACCCTTACTATTTGAAAATTGACTAACGTTATCCTTACTATTTCTCACAATTGACTAATACTTCCCTTACCGTTAATGTTCTGTCAAAAACCATTTAAATGTGTATCTCATTCTTCCCTTTGGCATCGGCACTGACATCTTCGAAACAGCGTCTCTATGTTGGAGATGCTCTCTCCCTTCCTAGAAAAACAAAGACTTTGAACCCTCTTCTTCTTTTTCTCTTTCTCTCTTCTTCTTCTTCCTCTCCTTCCCCTCGTCACCGGTGATTACTCACCATTTTCTTGGAGGTGTTCCACCATCACCACTGTATCACAAGTTCTCAAAACCCACCGCTCAATCCTAGCAAACCCACTGCCCAGTCTTGATCATTTTCTCAAACTGAGCCAAGAGATGAAGCAACTATCTACTAAGGAGCGGGTGCCACTACTAAAACCAGCAGTTGTAGCTCTTTGGACCCTTCTAACCATCTGATTCCACTGCTCCATCTCTCTCCAGGCGACAAAGCAGCTATTGGCTAAGGAGCGGGTGCCACTACCGAAACCAGCAACCACAAGGATCTTTGAGCTCCTACAATTTCCAGCGAGGTGGTGTTTCATGAGTTTTGATGCAGCTAATGGGGGATCTGATGAAAGGATTGCTTCTAAAGGTTAAAGGTGGATAAGGGCAGGAAAGCTTTCTACTCGACTTTAGCTCCGACCAGTCCACAATAGGGACCGGGTTGCATTTTGTAGATGACAGATAGTCGAACCGGTCATCAACGCCTTTACATTCTATCCCTCTACTCGCCATCTGATCAATGAACCTCAGTCGTTCAATTGCAAGGCCGACGACCGTGGGGACTGAATTCTCCGTCTTTAAATCTCCACCATTGTAGAGAGAGAGAGAAGAGCGCTCTAAATCTCCACCTCGACCTCCGGAGTATGGCACTGTTTCAGACGCAGTATTGGGCTCCATCGAAATGCAGTATGGCACTATTTTAAGCACAGTATGGGATTCCTGTTGCTTCCTTTTCACCAGCGGCATAGACGAAATTGCACTTTGAAACAGTGTCGCTTGCTATCGTATGTTTCAAGGCCAACGCTGGTGAAACAAACCTCCTTGAAATAGTGGTGCTTGCTAACGTCTGTTTCAAGGCCAACACTGGGGAATCAATCTCACCTGTCCTTCAACCGTTTGTGTCAGTCTGTGTTCTAAGCCTGTAACTTCCACTATCCCCTGTTTCACTGTCTCCCTCTGCCTATGTCTCTCTCCGGTCTCTCTCTCTCTCTCCATTCTTAGACTTCCCCCTCCGCCTCTGCTCTCTCTCTTCTTTGTCTATTCTCAGACCTCCTCCTCTGCCTCTCTCTCTCTCTCTCCATTCTTAGACTTCCCCCTCCGCCTCTGCTCTCTCTCTTCTTTGTCTATTCTCAGACCTCCTCCTCTGCCTCTCTCTCTCTCTCTCCATTCTTAGACTTCCCCCTCCACCTCTAGTCTCTCTCTCTCTCCTTTGTCTGTTCTCAGACCTCCCTCTCTGCCTCTGTCTCTCTCTCTCAACCTCCGACTCTCCGGTCTCTCTCAACCTTCGTTCTCATACCTCCCTCTCCACTCTCCAGTCTTTCAGTAAATTATTCTATAATTTCAATTTTGATTGGGCTCCATTGAAACGTAGTATGGGATTCCTATTGCATGTTTAAGTTGTTTTATTTTGAAAATTTGAAGAAGAATAAAGGGTAAAATAGTCTTTTTATTAACGGATGCTAACGATAATGAAAGTATTAGTCAATTCTTAAAAACAGTAGGGGTAGCATTAGTTAATTTTCAAACAGTACAGTAGTTTAAAAAATTTACCCTTAATATTAATATTAATATATTATATTATACAATAAAAAATATATTCATTTTAGAGCTCGAACCTGAATATTGAACCAAACCAATATATGCCAAAGTAATGCTCGGCTCGGATCTCATTCTCATTTCTCACCATATTTATGCGACCCACGGACAAATTATGATTATGTGCGGATATACGTCATATTGGAACGTGTTGGAAGTTTTTTTTTGTATTGGGAGCAGATCCGGTGTCTGTATCTGGAACATCTCCTGTTCTTGTAATGATGTATTCATGGAGATGTTCTCAATGCATGGCTGGATCATGTACTGTTAGCGTTTTAAAACGCCTTTTGCTGGTAGCGGAGTCTTCCGTTACTCCCTCCAAAAATGGTGGCCTATAAATTATGATTGTGCGCCGGTTCGCCCATAAGTAGCGTTTCCTCGGCTCCAAAATCGAACACGAAGCGAACACGGCGGGCTCATTAACTGGTTTTGACTTTTGATTGTGAATTATACGGTTTTTCAATCTCTTCGAAACATGGAATTGTGACTTGAAAGATTTTCCAAATTGAAGGTAGGCAAGTTTGCTGCTCAGTGCTCACTTTGTTTTGATTTCTGTAGCTAATTTCGGAGCCCTAATCTTCTGGTTTTGAGTTTCGGTGCCATTTTTCAGTTCAGGTTTCTCCTTTTATTTTGCTTGATTTTCGGACCGTAGCACACGGGGATGTCTTCTGACCTGCTTCTAAAGCCGTCATGCGGCGGCTGTGGGTCGACGTCAGATCTTTACGGAAGCAATTGCAAACACATGACTCTCTGCTTGTCCTGCGGGAAGACGATGGCGGAGAACCATGGGAAATGCTACGAGTGCGGAGTCCCTGTTACACGTTTGATCCGGGTTTGTACTTTGTTGGTCTTTCTATTCCTAAATTCCTCCTCTTCTTGGGCTCTCTTGACCTGTTTCCTTTGGCAATTTTTGTGTTAAGTAGGGAAAGGTGGGGAAACCTTTACAAACCTTGTATAGGTTTCCCTATCTTTCCCTTCCTTTCCCTACCTTTTCCTTCAAACCAAAAATAGCCTAAATTGAACTTCTTTGTTCGGGTTCACTAGTCTTCTGCTTGATTATACCTCTATGACTTAAAGTGTTTGTTATTTGCCTCTGAAATTCTCTAAAACGCCAAGTATGATCTGTATGACATGTAGGAGTACAATGTTCGCGCGAGCCCTGCCAGCGACAAGACTTACTTTATTGGTAGATTCGTAACAGGCATACCTAATTTTTCAAAGAAGAAAAATGCCAGTAATAAATGGTCTCTCCAGAAAGAAGGACTGCAAGGACGCCAAGTTACCGATGCCTTGCGGGTAATTATTTATCTCTTTCATTGTTTCTTTTTTTCCCCTTCGGGCTGTGTTTGATTTGATAAAAATAAAAGAGAAGCAGAAAATTGAGGGAAAGTTACTAACTCTTATTTTCTATCAAATCAGATGCAACATTGATGTAACGCTGAAGTTCTAACGTGACAACAAGAACGCTATAACCATAGAAACTTGAAATGTATAGACTAGGAACCACAATAATACTTTATGCTTTTGATATAGATTTTAGAACTATGACATAAAAATAAATAAACAATGACCAAATCAATTAAAGTAGTCAATGCATCATTATGGTGATTACCAAATTGCAGATTTAGAATTTTTCTCTCATTGTGGTGGTGTCACTCCTACCGCTCTGAGCAGGTGATTGACCTGCCATTACTGAGGCTGGGTGTTGAATGACTTTCTGATATTAGGAGGTAAGTAGAACGTTTGCAGGTTGCAAATGGAGGGGGAGAATGAGCCGGAAGATGTGATGGTGGAGAGATTTTCCAAAATCCTTTCTGGAGGAAGAGTAGAGGCTGCCTCTTTGAGCATGTCAGAGATCTGTCAAGATTCTGGATGGATTTTGGTTGACGGTGGTGAGGGTGCTATCTGATAGTCTGGCGATGTGATTCTTGGAATGAGTTCTCTGGAATTTTAGTCTCCAAGTTTATGGCCAGATCCCACATAATTCAATTTCCAGATAAAGTTTCTTTTGATGCTATTTGGAAGAATGGCCCCTAGTTCTATGAACAGGATCTCATCATCCTTCAGCAGTGTGTTCTGAACAAGATTCCTGACTCGTACAAGCTTGATTGGGCATGTTCTGGTTCCACATTTATGGTCTGCCTTTAGAGTACCTAAAGGTGCTGGTTGTTGTGAATATCACTGCAAGAATTGGTAAACCATTTCCGCTAACCTTGGAAGAAACTAAGAAGTGGTCCAAGTTTGTGTTATTGATAAAAAAGTGGTCCAAGTTCACTAGGGTGAAAGTGGAGATCAGTGTGCTGGATCTGCTTATCCAATCTGTGCCTTTTAGGTTTATTAATGTGGTGATGATGGAAGTTCTCATCATACATGATAAACTGCCCTGTTTTTGCTTCATTTGCAGCAGATTAGGTCATGATCGGGAAGGATGCAAGATCAGATCTAGTATTCTGGAGTGCTTGGAGACTTGCAAGTCATCAGGATCAAGAGAAAAGTTAACATGTTCTGGCAGACAAAATGGGGCTGAATTTGAAGGAGGAATGCCTATGGGATGGGTGCCAAGAGTATCAAGGGGCTGAATTTGAAGCAGAGGAGTCCACCTTTTTGACAAAAAGTCAACTGTTTCATTGGGTGTGATGGGAGGGATGCCAGAGCCAGGAAGAAGGTAGGGGTGGTTGTGGTTAGTAGGGTGTTGATGTAGAAGTCTATTGGAAAAGACAGTTTTGAGGATCTTGCAGATTCTAACAAATTGGATGCAACAAGTAGACTGAATCTCGGTAAAAAGCCATTGCTGTCCCAGAGCATGTTGGATGTGGTTCCCTAGCAACCTTTGACTGGTAGTTATTCATATGGTAGGGAAGCTCAGATGGTCAAGGTTCCATGGCCAATTGACCATGATTGGTGGAAGTGATCCCAAATTGAGGATTGAGCCTGATCGTGTGGCCCCGAATAACCAAGAGAGTAAGTTTCAAGAAGACTATTTTTAGCATGGACGGCGATAGGGCTCCAAGGCAGGATGGCTTCCCTATCCTTTTCTTCCAAAAATGTTGGGAAATTGTAAAGTTAGATCTCATGGAGTTTTTCAGGGACTTCCATTCATATGCCATTGTTAACAAGGGCATTAACTCTACTTTTCTCTGCCTCATCCCTAAGAAAGTGGGAGTTTTGGAAGTTAAAGACTTTAGACCCATAAGTTTGGTTGGGAGCATATACAAAATTTTGGTGAAGGTTCTGGCCAACAGACTTAAAGAAGTCCTTGAAGATCTAAATTCCCCAAATCAATTTGCTTTTGTTAAAGGAAGACAAATTGTGGACAACATTCTTATTGCAAATGAGTGTGTAGAAGACAAAAAATCCTCTGGGATCTCGGGGGTCCTTGTGAAACTTATCTTGAGAAGGCGTACGACAAAGTGGATTGGGACATCATTCTTGATTGTTTAAGGCTAAGAGGTTTTGGGAGAAATTGGATCAGGTGGATTAAAGGTTGCATTGGCTCTCCATGGTTTTCAGTATTGATAAATGGTGAAGCGAAAGGTTATTTCAAGGCAAGCAGGGGTCTAAGACAAGGTTGCCCTCTTTCCCCTTTACTTTTCACTTTGGTGATGGATATATTTAATTATTTCTTTGACAAGTCAATTCTTTTCAACTTGGTGAAAGGTTTTGAAGTGGGTAGGGATAAACTTCACATCTCTCACTTACAGTTCGCCGATGACATAATCCTATTCATAGATGCCTCTATAACCAACATCACAAACACTAAAATGGTAATTGAATGTTTCGAGATTCTCACTGGTATGAGAGTTAATTTCTGCAAAAGCAATATTGTGGCTATCAACTCAGTGGATGTGGATCTTCTAGAAAATTTCAAATCTTTATTGGGGTGCAAAGTGGAGAATCTCCCCATTACCTACCTTGGGATGCCTCTTGGAGGGAGTCCAAAATCCCTCAACTTTTGGAGTCTTGTGTTGGAGAAATGCGAGAAGAAACTATCGACTTGGAAAAAGTGTTATCTCTCCAAGGGGGTAGCTTACTCTCTTAAAGGCCTCCTTATCAAATCTGCCAGTCTACTTTCTCTTTGTCTTCCGGATTCCGACCAAAGTTAGAAATCAGATTGAAAAGCTTCAAAGGAATTTTCTTTGGGAAGGTGGTGGAGATAAGAGAAACCATTTAGTTAGCTGGAAACAAGTATGCAGACCAAAAGAGGAAGGCGGTTTGGGTATTGGATAGCTTAAAGAGAAAAATTCCTCTCTTCTAGGCAAATGGCTCTGGAGATGTCCGAAAGAACCTAATGCTCTTTGGACTGCGGTCATCTCAAGTAAATATGGACGAAATACAAACGGGTGGGATTGCAATCTCCATTTGAATAGGATAAAGGCCATCAGTCCTTGGAAAGGTATATGTTCCATTCATACTTCCTTCTTTCCTTTTATAAGGTATAAAGTGGGAAATGGTTCTAAAATTAAATTCTGGAAAGATCTAAAATTAAAATACAAATGAAAGAACCCTAGATGCCTCTTTCCCTAGGCTGTTTAACCTCACCCTTGTCCAAGAAGCCTCTATTTCTGATTGCCTCCCAAACCAGTCTGCCGAGAATTCTTTAAACCTTCACCTCAGAAGACCCCTAAGGGACTCAGAGATTTCTGATTTAATAGCTTTAATCCAAACCCTCAAAGATGCCTATATATCCCCCTCTCAATCTGACACCCGAATATGAACCCTTCACCCAAATGGCGAATTCTCTTCTAAGTCTATGTTCAGGGCTTTGATTGCTGAAGATCAGCATCCCTCTTTTCCTTACAAGAAAATTTGGTCTAGTCACATCCCCTCAAGAATTTGCTTTTTTGTATGGAAAGCTTGTCTCCAGAAAGTTAATACTTGTGATCTCCTTCAGAAAAAGCTTTTGGGAAGATGCTCCATTTCTCCTCATGTTTGTATTTTATGTCTCAGCGGGGGTGAATCTGCAGATCACATCCTTCTTCATTGCAGCTTCACTCAAAGGATATGGTCCCATTTCTTGAATATGGTAGGGTACAGCTGGGCTTTTCCAAAACACATTATGGACAACTTGAATCAATGGCAAGGAATAGGGCTTAGCAAAAGGGGTAAAGTCTTTTGGCAATCAGTGCCTCATGCAGTAATGTGGGGCGTTTGGGATGAAAGAAACACCCGTATCTTTGACAATAAAAGCAGAACCTTGGAGGAGTTAATCTCAGATATTACCTATCTTTGCGTCCTTTGGTCGGTGAATTCAGATCTATTTAAAGGACTTTTAGTCAATGATATTATCAGAAATATTCACCCCTTTCTGTTTCTGCCTCATCTTCAGCAAACTCCCTTGAGGCATCCTGTTTCTATCAGTGAAGGTGTGATAACCCTTAATTTTGACAGTTGTGCCTTAGGCAATCCGGGTTCTGCGGGTATTGGTGGTACAGTAAGGGACGAAAGGGGCAATATCTGCTGGACTTTTAGTGGCCCAATTGGTTGGGACGACTCCACAAAGGCTGAAGTGATGGCTGCTCTCACCGGAATCAGGATAATTAAGAATTTGGGTATTCAGAATTTGATCATTGCAGGTGATTCAG